AAACCCTGATGTAGGGGAGCCAGCCCAAAGTATGGGGAGTTCAGGGGACCGCCTGCTTGGAAATAACCTGACATCAGGGGAGACCGCCCACACATAAAAAAGAGAACTGCCCTACTTTGAAGCCCTAAGGTGGGGAGGCAGCTAAACCCTGCTCACAGCTCAAGGAGGAGAGACCGGACCATCAGCAGGTGGTTTGCCAATATACGTAAAGCTCACCAATAACATCATAAGTAACACACCGAGGAGTGGAGTGCTCAGGAGAGACATCAAAGAGAGACGTTAGACCGCTGGTCACAACACTTCCTGTCAGTCACCTCTCTGAGGTCTCCCCTCCTCCTCTTAGCATCACGCTTCCTCTGTGCTCTACATGATGTTTTATTAACAAGGTTCGGGAGGAGCACGATCAGATAATCAACCAATTCGGCACAGGTGGAACTCGTTAGTTAATCATCTTAACTAGCACAATATATATATATACAGCAAACTTACCTCTGTCTCACGACAGTTTTCCGGCATCCCTCCTCCACCCCAACTCCTCACTCTAAAACTATTCTCATCCCATATTGTGGATGGGGGAGTTCTCTGGGTTCAGGCTATATTCCGAGCTCGGAGCCCTCCCTCAGGACAGCACGCCAAATATGCTTACTATTTGCTCAATCCAATTATATGTAAGTGGGAACTCGTGAAACTGGGATGGGGGAGGAGCACGAGAGGCAATGCAAATTTTCTGTCCCCTCAGAGGCTCCAGGAGGGGATCTGGTTCGGAGGGGAATGTATCTCCTGAAAGTCAAGTCAAGTCACCTTTATTTGTATAGCACTTTATACAATACCGGTTGTGTCAAAGCAGCTTTACAGTGTTAAACAGGAAAATAGTTTGTCAATGATGCAAGAAGACAATAACAGAGTAATTTTTCCAGCTAAGGTCAGTTCATTGATGGTTCAGTGATGTTATCATCCAGTTCAGTTCTCTTCCAATAGTGTCTGTACAATCAGTTAAGTGTCCCCAACTAAGCAAGCCAAAGGCGACAGTGGCAAGGAACCAAAACTCCATCGGTGACAGAAATGGAGAAAAAAACCTTAGGAAATTAACAAGGTTCGGGAGGAGCACGATCAGATAATCAACCAATTCGGCACAGGTGGAACTCGTTAGTTAATCATCTTAACTAGCACAATATATATATATACAGCAAACTTACCTCTGTCTCACGACAGTTTTCCGGCATCCCTCCTCCACCCCAACTCCTCACTCTAAAACTATTCTCATCCCATATTGTGGATGGGGGAGTTCTCTGGGTTCAGGCTATATTCCGAGCTCGGAGCCCTCCCTCAGGACAGCACGCCAAATATGCTTACTATTTGCTCAATCCAATTATATGTAAGTGGGAACTCGTGAAACTGGGATGGGGGAGGAGCACGAGAGGCAATGCAAATTTTCTGTCCCCTCAGAGGCTCCAGGAGGGGATCTGGTTCGGAGGGGAATGTATCTCCTGAAAGTCAAGTCAAGTCACCTTTATTTGTATAGCACTTTATACAATACCGGTTGTGTCAAAGCAGCTTTACAGTGTTAAACAGGAAAATAGTTTGTCAATGATGCAAGAAGACAATAACAGAGTAATTTTTCCAGCTAAGGTCAGTTCATTGATGGTTCAGTGATGTTATCATCCAGTTCAGTTCTCTTCCAATAGTGTCTGTACAATCAGTTAAGTGTCCCCAACTAAGCAAGCCAAAGGCGACAGTGGCAAGGAACCAAAACTCCATCGGTGACAGAAATGGAGAAAAAAACCTTAGGAAAAACCAGGCTCAGTCGGGGGGGCCAGTTCTCTTCTGGCCAGACAAAACCAGAATGGCGTGGTTTAATTCCAGGCTGCAACACAGGTCAGATTGTGCAGAGGAATTGTCTGGTTCCTGTGGTCTTGTGCCGATGGTCGTCGAGGTAATGAGGTCTTCACAGGGGATCTGTCTCTAGGACGCATCTAGTTGACATGGTCTCCGCTGACATCCAGGGCTGTAGAGGTCATCTTTAGGTGCTGATCCATCATCTGGACTGGATACAGACTGGATCCGTATGGCTACGGTGACCTTGGAATAAGAATGAAAGAGACTAATATTAGCGTAGATGCCATTCTTCTTACGATGTAGTGAGTACATTGGGTGTTATGGGAAGTGTTCCCGGTTCCGGTTGACCTAATAAATGCAGCCTAACAATCCTTTAACTGATTTGAATTATAGAAATGCAATAGTGTATTATGTGTATGCCAAGTTAAAGAGATGGGTCTTTAATCTAGATTTAAACTGAAGAGGAAAAGCTAAAGGAAAAGGATCTGCCGCCCGCAGTTGATTTTGATATTCTAGGTATTATCAAAAGCCGATTGTGCCCTCGCTTCCCTGAACTTCTCGACCACTGTCTTAACGGATGTGCCAAAAATCCCAGAGGGTGAAAGTGGAGCACTGAGAAGGATGTTTTTCTCTTTCCTCCCAATATCCCGCTAAGTTCAAACACAGATGTCTCTCCGTGGCCACCATTGCCGCCATCGCTCGCCCTATGGCGGCAACTGTCTGCTTAGTGGCACGGTGAGCTAAATCTGTAGTGTGGTGCAACTCTTCAACCGCCTCAGGAGGCAAACCCTTACCTTCATCCAAATCCTTAAGCAGATCTGCCTGGTAGGCTTGCAGCACCGCCATAGTATGCAAAGCCACCCCCCCACCCACCCCCGGCATGACCCGCT